CAAATTAATAGAATGATTTTATTTCCTTATAGAACTCATTACAATTTTATGAAATTTTATTTTAAAGAAATAGAAATCCTTAAAAAATGATAAGTGGAAAATAAAATTTCTAAAATTCTCATAAAATAACAAGTATCAGAAGTAGATATTGATATATGAAAAAAAAAAAAACATTTATTTATTAAAGATGATATGTCTCTTCTAGTGAAAATGTGACATAAGTAATAAACCACTTCATTTACTATCTAAATTAGTGAGCATGCAAAGCACTTGTTAAGCACCTATTTAAGATGGCCCGAACAAACTTTCTTACTTTCACGAGCTTAATGAATTTACATAATGGTTCTCTTGAGTCTTGATACTTAACTCAATTCATATTTTTCAAATATGGAATTTACAAGTTTAGGACACTCTATTGGGTTGGGCCAAATATGATGTGTTTAAAATTAAGAGTATGTTAAATTGGCCCAAACAAGCTAATTATTTGACCTTTGCTACATTCACAACTCACAGGTATGCTGACTTCCAAAAGGTCTTCATCGTCTTCATCTAATCATCTCCATCGAATCTTCTCACATCCACACGATTCTTTTCTCACCCCACATCCGAAATGTTTTCTCATACTCGTATTCACTCTCTTGATCTATCATCAATTTATCAATGGCTGCCACCCCCTCTGTTTCCTGGAACTATCTCCCCAAGAACTACTATCAACGATCAAAGATATTCTCCGCTGGACCATGTCCCATTTCTTCAAAACCTCCACACAAGGAAAACCTAAGAAATACGTCGCTCAAGGCTTTTAGAAATGCCCAAATTTCTTCTCCAATTACAGCTCACGTATCTCAATACAAGTTTTTACAACCGGGTACTCAAAGAACTAGGTCTAATCGAACGGTTTCGCTTAAATCCGCAGGCTCAGATAGCAGCATTACCTCCAATTTACTCCAAACTGTATGTACAAATCTCTCGGTGAATATTACTTTTGAGTTTTTCTGTTCCAGATGATTTTGTTAAATGGGTGTTCCTATTTTCTAGGCATTGGGAGTAGTGCATTTGGTTGTTTCGCTTGGGATCATACTGGCAACAGATAAATACTTGAAACAGGCATTTGTTGCTGCTGCGATTAAGTTCCCAAGTGCTCTTTTCGGGATGTTTTGTATATTCACTGTTCTTGTGATTCTCGATATTACTATTCCAGCAGCTGCTAAGGGTCTGGAGAACTTCTTTGAACCTGCACTCTTGTTTATCCAAAGATGGCTACCTCTGTTTTATGTCCCCTCTTTGGTAGTTTTGCCTCTTGCTATTCAAGACATCCCCGCAGCTTCAGGGGTCAAAATCTGCTTCATTTTAGGTACCTCAATGTTTTCCTTTTTCCTTCTTTAAAGATTGGTCCATGCTTAACTTCATCACTTTATCTTCAACTTTGTTGCATACACGATACAGTTGGAGGGTGGCTGGCTTCACTTGCTGTTGCAGGATATACAGCTATAGCTGTTAGAAAAATGGTGAAAACAGAAATGGTTCCTGCAGAACCTATGGCAAAACCTTCAGCTTTTTCCACACTGGAGGTAGCTGCTTGGAGTGTGATTTCTGTTGCATCATTTGCTGCAGCCCTCAAGTACCCTGAATTACTTGGAACAAATGCTAGAACATGTTTGCCATTCTTGTTAGGATCAACTGTTTTAGGTTACATGGTTGGCACTGGGTAAAAACTAAAAATCCTTTTCCTTGAGCTTAAATCTTTGAAAGGCTTTATGGGTTTCTTCTTCTTCTTGAATCTTTGATTGTTCCTTTTTTTTTTTGGTGATCTAAGGTTACCATCTGGTCTGAAGAAGGTTTTTCACCCAATCATCTGTTGTGCATTAGCAGCAGATCTTGCAGCTTTTGCTTTTGGATATTTTTCCAAGTCTGGACTTTATCCAATTCTTGGTACATGTTCTTATTCAATCTTGTTTGAAATTGGCATTTGGAAAGTATATTCTTATCTTTGCTTTATGTGAAATGGTTTCTGTTAACTTGTGAAGGATATTACCTTACAAAAGTGTCTTCTAATCCTGGAGCTGGTGACATCTTAATGGGGTTTTTGGGATCAGTTATCCTCTCCTTTGCGTTCTCAATGTTCAAGCAAAGAAAGGTAAGATAAGTAGATAATCATTATATTTTATTAGATATACATAATATATACATATATATAATAATATATAATCCACTGTATTTCAATGTTGACAGCTTGTTAAACGACATGCAGCTGAAATCTTCACATCTATCAGCATAGCAACTTTGTTCTCTTTGTATTCAACTGCACTTCTTGGAAGACTTGTTGGATTAGAACCAACTCTCACCATATCAATCCTACCTAGATGTATAACTGTTGCACTTGCTCTCAGCATTGTCTCCCTTTTTGAAGGTTAGTTTCTTTTTTATTTAAACAAACATATTCTCTCTCTTTCTTTTGGTTATCTCATCACCAAAAATAATATCATTTGTTTTTATATTCGTAGGGGCCAATTCATCATTAACTGCTGCTGCTGTTGTTGTGACTGGTCTTATTGGAGCCAACTTTGTACAAGCAGTGCTGGATAAACTTAAATTTGATGACCCTATTGCCCGAGGAATTGCAACTGCATCTAGGTATTTTCAATGATGAGGATGAGGACATTTACGTCTTTCTTGTCCCACTTACATTAGTCTCAGTCCAATACATGTCACATTCCCGAATGTATAAAGTTTTTGGACCTAATTTGTAATTTACATCAATTGTTGCAGTGCACATGGACTTGGAACAGCAGCATTATCAGCAAAAGAACCAGAGGCTCTGCCATTTTGTGCCATAGCATACGGTCTAACAGGCATTTTTGGCTCTCTGGTTTGCTCAGTTCCAGTTGTCAGACAGAGCTTGCTTGCTATTGTTAATTGTTAATTGTTAATGTTGGCTGGAAAGAATCAGTCATACTCTACTCCTATCTATTGTTTGTTGATAGATGATCACTGAATCTTTCCCTTGTATATTTATTGCTTCTGTGTAAATGTGTTGGATGTATTGCATTCCAAGTAAATGAGATCAATGGTGACATTTCCTGTCTTTGTTTTTACATAATGGTTTTGGTTTAAGGCCAATAATAAGTTCATGTGTGCTTGCCTAATGTTAACAAGGGGGAGAAACTATAAACGAGGACTTAGATTCTAGTTTGAGAATTAGAGATATTGCGATTTACCTTTCAACTTTTAGTATCAATGCTGCGTGTCACTCTTGCAATCCACCTTGACACATGATATATGTAATACCATTTCCTTTAAAAACTCATAACCTTTCCAAGTATAAAATACATATAATGACCATAAACCACTTGTAAAGCATTAAAAAACATAAATGGCATGTACATAGTTTTCATAAGTAACACATCTTGGTTTACCTATGGGTTGAGGGGAGGAGAGGAGGGAGGTTATGGTTGATGAGGAGAAGATACATATTCCTTCAATTGGTTGCATATCCCATTGCAATTCCTCAATTTTAACATGATGACCATACCCTAGTTTCTAACAAACTTACTCACACATATCTATCTATAAACACTTGTACTAAAGTGTTATTTGGTAGAGTCATGAACAATATGTTAAGTTTGTTATTGTTTACAACCAGACTTTTTTTGTTTGGTGTGCCCTTTATCCGGACGCAGTTAACATCACAAAGAGCACATACATTGATGCGGGCTCAATAAATGTGGTAACATGCACTTGCTTCATAATTGACGTGTGTGTATGTAAGTATGAGAAATCATATTATCTAAATAACTCAATTCCAATTTCAATTTGGGCAAATCCTAAACTTGGAGCCTTGGAGTTGCCCAAAAGTAGGTATGGGACTGATGTGCATTTGAGTTTGAGATAGATCATATTGATTGGGGAAAAACTCGAATAACCGTCTCTTGTCAAGATTAGAGACGTCCTCTCAACAATTCATCCAGACGCGGTGGGCCACCAAATGGCAACCCGGTGGGCCACCAAATGGCAAATATCAATCCATCCCCTCCTTGAATTTTTATTTTAGGCAAATTGCAGAAAAAACATTAAGTTTTCATAAAATTTTGATTTTGACAATATTTTTTTCTCAATTAAGTCATTAAATTTACAATTTTTGTGCCAATTTAACAAGTTGATCAGTTTGTTTCATGTGTTTCACTTGCTAGTTAGACAAAAAGCTGATGTGATTTCCACGTATGATTCTAGTTGGCAAACATTTGCATTAAATTGAACCCTTATGTAAATGTGTACTCACTTTCTTTTATTTCTTCTTCTTTTCTTCTCTCATAGCGTCAAGATTTTGTGCAATGGCTTCTCAAGGGTGCTCAAATGGTTCATTTCCCAATTGACTTCCACAAGGGTGCTCAAATGGTTCATTAACCAATTTATCGGTTTGTTTCACGTGTTTCATGTTTTTCACTTGCTAATTAGGCAAAAAGCTAATGTGACTTCCACATATTATTTTAGTTGACAAACTTTTATGGTAAATTGAACTTTTACATAAATATGTACTCACTTTCTCTTATTTTTTCTTCTTTTCTTCTCTCATAGCATCATAATTTTGTGCAATGACTTTCCAAATACGCTTAAATGGTACATTATCCCAGAGTGGTGTAAGCAAGACAAGGAAAGTTGTCCAAATTAACATCTTCTAAAAGAAACATTCATTGTTTTGCTTACAATTTGGAAAACCATCGTACAAAATCATGATGTTATGAAAGAAGAAAAAAAATAATAAGAAAAAATGAGTACATATTTACTTAATGGTTCAATTAACTCAAATGTTACCTATTAGAATCATAAGCAAATCGGTAGATTAATTAAATTTACAACAAAATTATAAATTTAGCTACGTAATTAAGATTAAAAAAAAATACACTGTCAAAATAAAAAATTTATATAAACTTATTTATGTAATTTTATATTTTATTTTTATATAAATAAACACCTACCCACGCACTTTTACCCACCGACTGCCTCTGCCTCTGCCTCTGCCTTCACTCTCACTTTCTTCCCTGTAAGGCGTAAGTTCTTCCTCGTCGTTACTCCTCTGCCTACCATCTCTTCCGCATTACTTGCTACAGTATAAGTGTATATATCTTCAATGTTATCATTTAAATCTTGTTTTCTCATAATCCGATGATTCATTTTTGTTTAGTTTATATGTTATCTAGCCATGGACAACAATCTTCCCTCGGTCCCTCGATAAGCGTTATATTTTGATGTTTCATTTCAGACTTACCTCACCTACTAAATTCCAAATGCAAAAATATCATGACTTTTAGTGCGGAATAATCACCAATTCCGTATCAAGTTAAATTGTAATGGGAATTTCTATGTCAATTTTCAAGTAATATTGTTACAGGTTTATCATCTAAAAAACAACCTAAATTCGTCTTAATTTTGATTACTACTTTGAAGTAATAAGAATAGAAAAATCTCCTGCAAAATGTGCCCCAAGTTTCATGTGTTAGATTGAATAGGAAATGATAATCAATAATCTGGATTTCTCAAGGATAGTGATTAGTGAATGTTCACTCTCTCCCCTAAGCCTGGGTTAGCAAGAAATTTAATTTGGGATAATCCGTGAAGACAAGACACTTAATGTCAATATTGATTGCTTAATCATAAGACTACATTACTATCGTTCACCTCATCTGTTTGATTATTCGTTCATATGTAGCTAATGTCAATATTGATTGCTTAATCAGATTTTGAGGAGCTGGAATGTCTGAAACCAATGATGGTGGACCTTCTTTTTCACAATTTCCCTGCTTTTCAAGCTCAAATCACTCTCAAGTAACTTATACCGAAGCTGTCCCCATCCGATGTGTTGCTCCCATAAGTGTTACTGAACCACACACCAACAAGAAAAACAAACTTTCTCCCAAGAACAAGACCAAGTCTTGTTCAATTTCTAAAAAGTCCAAGAAAAAAACCATTCTAAAACCAAATGTGGAGAGAAAGAATCTGGATGCTAGTTTTGATGATTCCAAAATTGACTTTTCAAAGGTACCTCCTCCTATATGTTCTTGCACAGGTGTTCCTAGACAATGCCACAAATGTGGGGTTAACGGGTGGCAATCTTCTTGTTGTAACTCTAAGATATCGGTTTTCCCACTTCCAATGAGTCCATGGAGGCCAGGGGCACGTGTGGGTGGAAGAAAAATGAGCCATGGTGCATATCGGAAGCTACTTTGTAAGCTTGCAAGTGAAGGTCAAGATCTTTCTCATCCAGTTGACTTGAAACCACATTGGGCCAAACATGGCACTAACAACTTTGTTACAATCAAGTAATATTATATAATATCTATGTAACCTAGTCTAGAATGAATCTTAGATGTTGGGAAAATCTAGTTGTGAATAAAAGTACTAATAATAATATCAAATATGCTTCAGACTTTTGTTGGTATCTCCAATATGGTTTATATTCTTACTTGGTTTGGTAATAACTAATTATCTTGATGATAAGAGAAGATGGTGTGTGATCATCTCAATATTTCATTCAAGAATTTGATTCTCTATATTACAGATATCCATAGCACAGAGGAAGGGAACTAAATACACATATGGGAATGGGGAATAATTTTACATGAAAACAGAGGTTTTAGGATTTTTGTTGTTTTGTTTGTTTTACTTTAAGCTTTTGTAGCTTCCAATGGAGCTGAGGCCTTGGCAGCTGTGAGTTGTTCAAAAAGATCACGAATTTTCAAACCAACAATGGTTTGGAATAAACCAGTGCCATTGTTGCTCCCTGGGAAGTCTGAATGCTTCAACATCTGTTGGGTGATTTCTCCATAGAATTTGGTGGAGATGTTGCTCAAATGGCTCTCAACATAGATCAGCTCATCCAGTCTGTCAAATTGCCCATCCATCTCCAACACAGACACCTGCAACATAAAAGGTAAAAAAAAAATCATCCATTTATTCATAAGCACTCATGGACATAATATTAAAACTACTAGAAGATGATGTGAAGTTTTTTTTTTTTTTTTTTTTTACCTCATTGTCAAAGTAAGAATCAGGGCCATAGGCAAATTTGATACCAGGGTAAGAACAGGTGAGCTTCCTTCCACATGGGATCCATGAGATGGTGGATCCTTCATCAAATAAGTAAACAGGATTGAAGTATTTCACTCCCTCTTTCATTATCAGCTTCACTCTCAACACCTTCCCTTCATTGTCATCCGGGATCAGCTGTGTAGGCAATACTTCGATAACCGCATCTGCATATTGCTTCTGTGGGTCTGCACCATTTTTAATGTTCAGAATATGCTTTTCATATTACATGCTAGTTGAAGAAATTGTACTACTTTTGAAGCAACAAGTACAAGATAACAGAATAGGTAAAGAACATTAAAATTTTGAGTGAGGTTAAAACTGAATGATACTTACCAATATAAGCATCAAAATCTGGCTTTCTGGCCTCAATACTAGCTTTAATACTTTCAAGGCTGTGTCCTCTCTCTGCCATGTCCCTCTACATTTTAAAGGATCTATGGTAAATAAAACAAATACAAGGATACAACTGTAATTTGACAAAAAAACAATATACCTGAATTTTCCAGGCAAATTTAACATCATCGCTGATGTCCAAGTAGATACTGAAGTCCAAGAGGTCTCGTACTCTCTGATCATACCTACACATATTTATATATAATAATAAAAAAAACAGATCATGTATCCAAACAAATAATAATGAATAACTAAAGATTTGAACATCTGTATGAAGTCATGTATGTGTTAAGTGGTTAAAGAGTTGCATAATACTTACATTGGATGGAGGCCTTCAATTACAAGGATCTTAGGGGGCTTGATGAGCTCTGGGGGATCCAAAAGACCACTGACATGGTTATAAATAGGCTTATCAACAGCGATACCATCTTTAAGAGCCTTAACCTGTTCATACATAAGATCAAAATTATTGGCTCTTGGATCCAATGCTGTAACCCCTTCCACTTTCCTCCCTGTTCTATCCAATGAATGATAATCATCCAAACATATCACTGTCGTTGTGTCACTTATCAGTGTGTTGGAATCAGGATTCCCTCCCTTTGGTGGCTCTGCTGCACCTCCAAACACACTGGTCAACCTTCTCATGAAGGTACTCTTTCCACACCCTGAGTCTGCTGCTAGTCCAATTACGATTGTGTCCCCTGAACATCTTATCTCACCACTTCTCACTCTGCCCCTGTGTGTCTTTTTACCATAGAACAACACTTGTCTTTGTTGGATTCCCAAGTGGGTTTTAGTGGTGGGTGTTGAGATTGATGAGCATGTTGAGTTCAAGGATTGGACTGTGTAGACTACAGTCGACACTGCCATTTTTTCTCTCTTTCTTTAAGTTTCTCAGGAGTTGAAAGAGAGAGAAAGAAATAGGTTCTTAATGTGTCACTCTAATTGGCTTTATGCTCGTTTTCTTTCAAGTGATAGTTTTTGTGAGATACAAAATGAATCAAGCAATTCCAATCTGGATAAAGCATTGTACAACTTGTGTTTCAGAGGGTGCACCTCTCTGATGGAGGTGTCTTTGAATATTTGAGGGTATTTTTGTCATTTCAGAAGGTAAAAAAAAAAAAAAAAAAAAGTTATGAGAAAAATAAAATAAAAATAGGAAAAGATTGGGTGTTGAAGATGAGATGAGGTGATGGCGTTTGTGATAACAATAGGCATGGAGAAGCTTGGTTGTTATTTGATACAGTTTGGATATTTGGCATGACATGTGGCATCAAGGTATTGGTTGATTGAGGATGAGGGTATTATTGAGCCTGGGGTTGTTATTTTGCCAACCAACTTAACCTTTGGGCTATTTTTGCAAAAATTCCATTTCCTTTTTGCCATTTCAAACCAGTTTCATAAATGCGTACTACGCATTAATTATGTTATCAAGTATACTAGTGTACAAGCTTAAAAGCTATATGTACAAGAAAGAGTCCTATGGAATTTCTTCTGACTTGACTTAATTTGGTCAACATTGTTTTATAAAAATGATATTTCTTAAGTTCCGTGCAAAATTGCAATGGTGTATGTTAATGTATTTGGATGAACACCAAATTCGGCATCTCATAATGTTTGGATAAAAAAATGACTAAAAACTTTAACTCAAGAAATCTAGGGAGTACCTTCTTGGCTGCTATATGTTTGTTTTGGTTGTGTTTCTAAATATCATTATCTTAAAATTAATAAATTATGATTCAGAATAGAATCCTTAGTTGGTGCAAAAGTCAATAATTTTAAAAGATTAAAAAAATGTGGTTCTTTAATTGTTAACCTTAGTTTTTTTTTTTTAACGGTAAATCTAATTTAATTTTAAACCACTCTTAAATCCACATGTCTTGGATGTGATACAAAGGTTACAATGGTTTGAAACGTTGGTCCTTGATCACCTCAAACATGCATGCATGCATATATAGATTGTCATCAATCACAAATTTCATCTTATTCCATCTCAAAGTTTGGTTCAGTTTCTTTGACAACCCAAATAATTATAAGTCGTTATATTAATACTTGCATTGTGTTGAAAAGGTAATAAATATGAAGATGGACATGAAGCCGCAATTTGGAAAAGCACATACAAGGATCGAAAAACTTGTTTTACTTGGTTTTGATATATTTAATAAGGCATTCAACTTTATCATTAGGCATTATTTACATGTCAACATTAATAAATAAATAATTAATAAATAAAAAAAACAACAATCATTTTCAAAATATTCCCAGTGGGTCAAATGTTATCTAACTTGGTTTCTTATATGATACTGTATATGTGTTGATCCATAAATCCAAAAATAGATGTTTTGAAAAAAATAGAATCCTCAAAATGAATTGTAACATTATATAATCAATATTAGTAACAATATTAAAATTGTTATGCTGATCATAATACCAAAAATGAAAATTTGGATATAATTGAGGATTTTATGTCATTGTAAAAATAGATAGTTGAGTTGAGGAACAGTGTATTGGTCGCTTTGCTGAAAACTGAATAAGCAAGTGAAAGAGGTATATATACTTATGACTTGTGTATATAACTATAAGAAGCGTATAAAACAAAAGTCAAAAGGTAGCCGGGAGAGAGAGTATACATATATATATGTTTTATGTTACGTTTCTATATATAATGAAATCAATCAATTATACATCATCATATACTAGTAGTAGTATCATAAATCATGCTTGCTTCTTGGAAGTTGGAAGTGGACACACACAAGAATGTTGGATAGGATAGGTACAAAACGGGCTCAGATGCTCACTTGTTGCCACGGAAATATATGTAAACTTTCTGTATAAACCATAAACCAAACAAAAAAGCATCACCACAAATACATTTTACTTTTTTACCAATTAATGCAATAGATGGTTTTTCAACAGTGATTCTACACAAAAGAGCTGAAAATTGCTAGTATGAGTATCTAACCTGAAGTACCCAGAAGCTTAGCAGTGATTCTACACAAAATAATCCAAATCCTACCAGATAAAAGATCTGCAACAACAACAACAACAAATGGTTATGATAAAGTTTTACAATTTCAAAAATCATTCTTTCTGCTGTTTCAAAATAAGATAGACATATACAAGAGGTCAAGTAGAGACTAATTCCACAACTTGGTTTTTAAATTATTGTTTCCTTTGGCACTTTGTATTTATTATGTATGTATGTTGGTTGAGGACTTACCCCTACTAATGCATGGTCAGAAAAGACATCAATTGCAGCTAGGATTCCCCTGGTGATTAAAAACAAAAACCCCAAAAAATGTAAATGAATAATAACATACACTTTTAGAAGCTACTAAGAAAGAAAGAAATTATAAGCATATAGTGTGTGTGTGTGTGTGTGTATGGGGTTTGAAGTTAAGAAACAGAACTTACGTCAATGACCTCCCCTCAAAGACTATTGGAGGAGCAATAGCAGCAAATATACAAAACCCAAGATGGATCTGCAAATGGATTCAAATAGAATTAAATTTTATTTGAAATCAACATACACATACATACACTAAAGGTATAATCTTGACATGCTTCCTCACCAAGTAAAACACGAAAAACCAACTGAATTTCAAAGCACTATCAGTCCTGTAAATCAACAAACCAACTTCAGTCTTATTTGTAATTTTATTTTTTACTTTTTACTTTTTACTGGGAAAGGTAAAAAAAGGTACACTATATATGTATACCTCATTGCACGATACAGAGGCCTGTACCATAATACATATGAAAGGGGTACTCCAAGAAGTGCATAGATTACTGCAAGGAAAAATATCTTCACACCTGTAATGTAAATGGAAACCAATAAAATTCTCAACTTCACACACAATGCCTTACGATTTCATGTAAGTTTAATCTGCTGCACAAAAAGTAAAAAGTAAAAAGTAAAAACTATAAAGTAACTTACCACCGCCTTTAATCCAACAGACAATCACTGCTATCATGTTAAATACAAGACACAGAACTAGACCTGCATGCCAAAATAAAACATTATTTTAATGCATTCGCTTTTGTAAATAAATTAGAATAAATGATAAGCAGTAAAAATCTTAATTCATACCTAACCAACTTGCAAAAGCCAAATACTGCAACTTCTGAGCATGAACTGGTATCTCATTGGCTATATCATGATGGATTATTGGAAAAAATGGAGGCCAGTTTCTATCATCTGTGGGGATAGCAGCTGTTTCCACATGTAAATTAATGAGAGTAATGTTGACAAAATTACAACAATAAAAAAAAATAATAATAATAATCAACAATACTCACCACCAGCAACAACTTCTTCTCTTCGTTTGATGTCCTGTAAGTGTAAGATACATGCTAATAAGTAACTTGAAAGAGTTCTCAAATGACTACATATTGAATAAATATTACCAAAACAAGTGTAAAACCAACCTTTTCCTTTCTCTTTAAGTCGGCTTCCCAGTTTGAAAGTTCTCTCTCTTTTTTCTTTGGATCCTGGAACATGATGACACATTAAGCAAATAAGCAATGCATCCCATTCCCAACAGAGAGTTAACAGATCAAACTAAAAGGAAGTAATGTAAGATGATTCATGATATAAATTTATTATTACATTCATTGAATCCAAGGGTATATCAACAGTTGCATCATGCTTTTGACCAAAACCAAGACTACTAGCAACCATCTGAGGAACACGGGATTTTGAACCAGGAGCAGCAGCATCCCCATTCTGCAATCAGGTCATAAATTTAATGATCCATAAATAAAAGGGGGTGGAGTTTGGTCCTTTAAACGAATACACCCTTACAACATTCAATATTATATGATGGAGGTCATAAGTTTGAATTTGCGTTTCGATAGAGAAAACAATTTTGTTTATTATAATCGAGTATATTATGAGAAATGAGGAACTTCTTTTTTTATTAATTTGATTCCAGACATATATCTGTAATCTATGTGCGTGTACACGCTAATATAAAAAGCAAAGCCATATCCGGCCTGCAATGTGGCATTAATGCGCCAATTAATCCCCGAAAAAATCAAACCTTTCTGGACTCATTTCTGAATTTTTTTTAGAAATACATTATAATGCTACACATAATTGATTAAATTTTCATACTCAATTACATCAGATCTACGACAAAAAAAATACTCAAATTACCACAAAACAACATGCATATCCCAAAATGCTAAGAATATGCACACATCAATGTTACATAGAAAAAAAAAAAAAAAAAGGTTTAATTACACCAAAAAACAACTGAAAATCCAATCTAAGAGCTAAAAAGTAGGCAGATCTAGAGTAGAGGTTACCGAAAAAGGATTGACTTCTTCATCAAAAGGATTAGGATCTTCGCGGCGATTCATGGCTGAAATTTAACTTCTTCTGTAGAAATTGCACCCAAATTCTTTGCAGAAATAAATTCCGTAAAGAGTGGTTTGTTGCTTCGTCTCTCACTCTGTTACTGTGTGCGTATGAATATCGCGTTTGTTTATCGGTGCATAAAGCGGGATATGCCAATATTTCGATTTTTGGCCCCTTAAGTTTTCAAATATTTTGTTTTAACTTGTTCTTGTCTTTCAAAGTTCAATCCGGACTTTCTACCGATTTCGAATTTCTATCATAAACAAATTGAATACCAGCATTAAAAATATATTCAAAAATAATTGTTCATTTATAGTAGGATAAAATAGAAAAAATATATTACAATTCTTTTTTTTTGGATTTAGTAACTCACCCAGTTTTTGTATTTGATAAACTATCATATTTTGTTTGACTTATTAAAACTTTCTTTTTACCAACTTATTTACATGTGGATGATCGGTTGACATTACAATGTGTTCTAGTTGGAAGCAAGTAATCAATGATGCTTCATTTTTTGTCAATTTAACAAGTAAAACTGTCACCACGTGGAAAACATATTTGACGAGTTTGTTTTTGCCTTGTGTTATTATGATTTTAGGCTTTTAGGATAATTAACCATGACCTTTTGAAATAGCTAGGTAGTTTTCTTTACATACATTTTTTACCTTCGTACCATATTTTTACCTCTAATCTTTAAATAATGAAATTCTAAAATAATCATCAATATCAAAATCAGGGTTGTTACAAAAAGCTATATCCGAGTGAAATTAAGTACGACTTTTGTCACATGTTCTCAACTTTGCCTTTTGTGTCCATCCATCACCATCAT